GGGGGGGGGGGGGGGGGGGGGGACATTGTGGTGAAGAATTGGAGAATAATGAAGATCTTTTATTCATTGAACTCCAGATGGAATTGATGACGACGTGAGACTGTGGATTTCATGTGATTATTAAGGAAATCCGACGGTTTACGATGAAGTTTAAGAGATAGTTGTTGCAGAAAATTGAATTTTCGAACTCTACTGATTTTTATTGAGCCCTGACTTGGCTTATTTTGGTTTCTGTATTTTCTTCAAGTTTTTTTATGGAAGTTGTATTTTTCTAGAAATTTGTCTTCCTGATTTCCAGGAAAAACCAAAGAAAAATTTTCCTCGGCACCGTTTGTTTTACAAAAATAATTACAGTGGAGGATTCGTATAAGATACGAGCGCTCGAGGCCTCCCGAATGTTTATATTCCGTGGGCTTCTTATAAGATACCTATGGCCCCGGTCATTTTTCAACGGAAAGAGAGTAGTTATAGGGTCGAACGGTATTAAGGGTCAAACGGGAGGGACGAACGAAGTGATCATGAGGGTCTAATGACCTTAAGGGGGGTCACACCACTTTTTTCAAGTAATGGAAATATACATCGATTTTTTTTCCCTTTTCCCATCGAAAAATCGTAATTTTTCATCTGTGATTATTCTCGAGTCTACCAACGATCCCCCGACATCAGCTGCCATTCTATCACGCGGGGTTATGTTTAGAGAGAAAAGGGAACGCGGGCGATACAAATTCAAAACATGAGTCAAAACATTGAGTCAGACTCAATTCGGTGAAGGACCTGATAGGGATAACCACGTCGAAATAAAAATCTTTTTTTTTCTACTCTCCCCGGCAAACCCCGGGTAACACTAAGTACTGATGAGGGGTTGATACTTTGAAGTGCCTGACTACACGTTGAATTTTTAATAACACTTCATAAGTTGTAATTTTTAAAAAATTGCTTTCAGAAGGAAAGCTGAGGCTCGGAGGTCCTGTAGATCTACATAAGCATCGATGTAAATAACTGTAATGTCTGAAAGTGGTTGAATTTATTTATAGAAACTAAGTTCCGACTTAATGTACGTTGAAATACTTCATGTTTCCTATTTAAACTTCAATATTTACCTATAAAAAAATCTGCAAAGTATGAGCCGGCTGTAGTAATACATGACCCGGGAGTCATTACTGAAATGCTTCCGTAATTAACAAAAATGTATAAAATGATTTTTTTAAAGGTAATGGCATTACTAGGACTCTCTTGGAGACTGAGAGAAATGACTTTTTCCAAATGTGAATGATCCTTGAAATTTTTTCATAATTAACAAAATAAAAATTGAAACTCAATTATCAATTCGAATTGAGTGCCATAAGAGTGGATACTAACAGAAACTAGGTTTATTTCGATTCGTCAAAATATTGACAACTATTTTTTTCAATGCGAAAAGTTTCTACTTACAAAAAAAATGAGGAAATTCTTTTCCCGAAAATGAAGAAAAAATATTTTCGCACAATAAATGACTCTTAATCTTTATTAATAATTCTTCCATGCAATATTAATCACTGAACAGTAATTAGGGGAAAGCATTCTCGTATGGGGAAAAGAAAAAAAATGGCAGGAAAGCAGAACACATCGTCAGTCAATTAGAGAATTAGGGGTGGACGTGATAAAATTGATAATGATCGAGTGAGGAAGTTGTTTACCGAGCAACAGTTTTATTTCGTCATTTCCTACTTCTCTAATTCACTCACGATAGATTGATGATATTTTCTCCCCCACGCGGAGAAAAAATGCGAGATTTTTTCTCCATATGTCCAGACAAAAATATATACAGTGAAAGTGTCTCAATCTCCAAGTGCCGAGTGCCAAAAAATTGTAAAATTAATTGTCTAACTGACCACGAGAGATTGCTAGTCAACGAAAGCTGTTCAAAATAATTCAATTTGAAAGGAATAATCTAGAATTGATATTGAAAAGCCCAACGATTTGGTGAGAATTCGACGGCTTTTCTTAGAATTCCTCTGCATCGCACAGAAAGTTTGAAATTTTATTCCTCCTTTTATAACAAAATATTTCGCTGTTACGGTCATAAGATCAACGGGTGCAAAGGATCCCTAGTTCCAAAGATTCTTCATTTTCATTTCAAGCGAAAATTTCCTAATGGCAAAACTTTTAATCCTCGAAATAAGCATTCTTGCTTTATGGTCAATGAGATTATAACGTTTCGGAATTCTTGCACCCCTTCCGGGAATTTCAAACTCCACTCGCAGTCCATTCTTATTTAAATTGTTACACTGACAAAGAAATGTGGGGTATTCCATGGCAAATGAGTCAACGGCTGACCCTCACTCAGTTGAAAAGAAAAATAAAATTGGCTAAATAAATCATTCATGTTACAAATGATTTTTCTCATCAAATTATAAGTGTTATCGCGTACTGTTCCGGTCTCAAAAACAATAATCAAAGAAAATGCTCACAGATAATGGAGGACTTGTGACTGCAGTGGTAACAGTCGAATTTTGATCGGACAACATCGCACGCTTCGGCTAGTAGTGGGGTTGCACCAGTGAGATGAATGTTTGTGTGTGTTATACGTGTCCATATGCTTCCAGCACTGAATTATCGTCACTGACTTTACCGACCTCGATCAGCTGTTGTGCGGTGTTGTCGCGTTGCTCGACTCGTAATGGCGGTCAAATTTTTTTTAGAGGAATTCGAAAATCAATCGAAGATATCACGCCTATGTGGCCCGGTCCCCTACTTGTTCTCGCCGGCGATAGATTCTCCATAGTCTAAAGTAAATGGCTTGTGGTTTTTTTTCAATATCTTGAGTGTCTAACCCACGCAACATCTCGATCAAAGTTCACACGGTCACGTTTCTTCCCTAAGCGTAATGTTACAAGAAGTGATCTTCAGAAATTAATTTCTCACTAGGACGCCCCGATGGAAGGATTAAGATTATTACCAACGTGTGGCTCAAATATGAACCTGGCATATGAGACGATATCAAAATTAAGGTGAATAATGTGGCTTTCGGCTAAACATCCTTAAATAAAGGTGACTTGATGTTGTGTTCGAATGTGTCTGATGTCATATTTTCCAGGGAAATTTTACATGGGGAAAATTCTCCGGGGATTTTTCACGGGGATAAAAAATCCAGTGACCTGCACTGCTCGCTCCCCTGTGCCATTCTACTTTGTTCAGCCCTCCCCTACTATAATGTAAACCAGTTAATTACCGAAATTTCATTGATGCTCCAACTGACATTAGCTGCCGGATTGCTGGGTGGCACAGTGCAGTTGGCTTTGACAGTTTCACCAATCGCGTATCTCTGCTTCTCAACGAGTATCTCGGGTATGCCCTCGGGTAAACCTGTGAAAATATATACGGTATACACACCATCTTCACGTGAAAATGTCCCATGTGAAAAGGGTGGGGAAAACTACTTTCGCATATGTATACATGCCCGTTTCCCGTGGGTGCATTTGCGTTGGTTTTATGTAGGCATATGTACAGTGGAGGGTGAGGGGGAGAGCGAGAGAGGGGGAGGGGAGAGAGTATGCACGCTGCTCGAATCACGCGAGTAACTGAGCGTCTCTCAGGACATAGACCCTCAGGTACAATAACATATACTCAGTTACACGTATGACGTATTTGCCGTTATTTTTCACTCCTTCGACAAATCACCGGCTCTTCCCACAGTCACGGGTCATTAACCGAAAATCGCTCATTTTTGCGGAGTCACGCCGGGGCGGAATGAAGACCAACTTGTTTTTTGTTGTCATTAATGAGCGATCGTCGGGGTCATGATGATCACTTATCAGGCGGATGCTCCATGCAAAAAAGGAATTTTTTCGGGGGAGTGAGTGACCGAATGATCGGGATGTGGTACGCGGAGAGCAGACAGCGGCATAATCGAAATTTTAAATTACAGTTAAATTTCGAATGAGTCGATTGTCAATACTACTCAGCAATTTTTTTATTTTTAAAAATAACCATCAATTTAAATATTCAAATTCGGAATTATTTTATCTGTCAATAATTGAGAAATTCAATTACCAATTATTATATTAATTTTCAAATTTCAATTAGGATCAATAAATCTTATTTACTATAAGGCGCAACTTCTCATGATGTTACTAAAAGTAATGATTGATGCCGATCTATGACGGAGAGAAATAAAAGTTTCCGGGTGCCAGTACCAGTCAACAGATTTTTTATTAACAAAATAGATGTAAATTTCACGTGAATTTAGTGTTGTTAAAAATTCCAAGTTTTTGTAACAAAATTTTTCTTCAATTGTTCGCCAATAACAGAAATAGAACAATAGAAATGAGGACAGGATGACTCATGATCCTTTAGCCCCTCACGTACGGGCTCGGTATGTCATACCGACCCATGCAAAAACGCACGGCTCTTTTCAAAATTAAATATTTCCGAAACTATGGCTGATGATACAATCGGATTAATACCATTGGGAAGGTGAATACTGTAGCTTCAATTATATATTTTATTTATAATTTTTCATTCATCAGAAAATGTGGGATGCGAAGAGTATTGAGCGTGTGGTAGACTTGGTATCAGAAAGGCCCCGTACGTGAGGGGTTAAAGAACCCTAGCATAATTTTCATCCAAAATTTCTCCCCGCGTACCCTCAAAAATAATACTCACCGACAACATGCATGTATCCAGACGTAAGCAACGTATGAAAATCAGGAAGATCCGTGCTGACCTCGCACCTGTACCTGCCCTCCAAATCCGGCGTCACATCATTGAGCACCACTCTGTGAGCATCGCTCAGGACAGTCTGTCACCAAAAATAGAAATAACATCCATTGAATAATCGAATCAACTTCCCCCTCCCCCTCTCCCTCTCCCCTCACCCTCCCACAAAGTGGATTCTCCTGAAAATCCAAATCTGCGGACAGTCCGAGGGCCGCCCGGTGCGGAGGACGGGGGATTCCGGAGTTAATTCGGCGGCTAGACTGCTAACCGCAGGATCGACCGAGTCGCGCATAGGTACCCACTCTAGAGCCCTATTTATCGTGAATCGATATCTCCACATTCCCTGACCCTCCCCCCCGTTCCCCTCCGCCATTCCCTCACGCTCTTATTCAGTATCAGAACAATCCTACCGGCAGCAACTATTAATTATATATGTTGCTAGTGGCAGGAATATAAATCATCTACAATCAATTTGGTTAGTTCACATCGAGAGGGACAGAACGTGGGGGGGAGGGAGAGGGAGCGAGAGAGAGCGAGATGATTCAGTTTGTGTACGTGATACATCCACCCCACGTGTGCATGTGCACAAATTTGGCCTTTCCGTTTGTACTAAACGGAGGGGATGAGGTGTCACAGCCAAAAACAGAAAGAGGGGGTCGCAANGGTATCAGAAAGGCCCCGTACGTGAGGGGTTAAAGAACCCTAGCATAATTTTCATCCAAAATTTCTCCCCGCGTACCCTCAAAAATAATACTCACCGACAACATGCATGTATCCAGACGTAAGCAACGTATGAAAATCAGGAAGATCCGTGCTGACCTCGCACCTGTACCTGCCCTCCAAATCCGGCGTCACATCATTGAGCACCACTCTGTGAGCATCGCTCAGGACAGTCTGTCACCAAAAATAGAAATAACATCCATTGAATAATCGAATCAACTTCCCCCTCCCCCTCTCCCTCTCCCCTCACCCTCCCACAAAGTGGATTCTCCTGAAAATCCAAATCTGCGGACAGTCCGAGGGCCGCCCGGTGCGGAGGACGGGGGATTCCGGAGTTAATTCGGCGGCTAGACTGCTAACCGCAGGATCGACCGAGTCGCGCATAGGTACCCACTCTAGAGCCCTATTTATCGTGAATCGATATCTCCACATTCCCTGACCCTCCCCCCCGTTCCCCTCCGCCATTCCCTCACGCTCTTATTCAGTATCAGAACAATCCTACCGGCAGCAACTATTAATTATATATGTTGCTAGTGGCAGGAATATAAATCATCTACAATCAATTTGGTTAGTTCACATCGAGAGGGACAGAACGTGGGGGGGAGGGAGAGGGAGCGAGAGAGAGCGAGATGATTCAGTTTGTGTACGTGATACATCCACCCCACGTGTGCATGTGCACAAATTTGGCCTTTCCGTTTGTACTAAACGGAGGGGATGAGGTGTCACAGCCAAAAACAGAAAGAGGGGGTCGCAACGGGGCAGCGGGAAGGGGGGAGGGTTGGCGGGAGGGTGGGAGGGAGGGCTAGTAACTTGATTCACGTGTGTTGGTGGTTGACCGAGTCGCGGCGTGCCGAGAATTGTCGAAAATGTTTCTCGGTGCCGCTCGGCGCCACAGCTCCAACTATACCCCCAATTCCCCATATTACTCTTTAGTTTTGTGTGCAACCCGGTGCCCTCTCCTGCACTCCCCCCCTCGTTCTCTGGGGCTCGTGTTCGCCTGACAATTTCGCATTTTACCCGTCACCGCGATATATTTCATCCCCCCGACGCCACGCCGCCCGCGCGATAAACGAGCACGGTATGCGCGATCACATAAATTTCAGTGTTTTTTTTTGTCTTTTTTCTGTTCATTGTTCATTTTTTTAATCAATTTTTTCGGCCGCTTTTGGCGGTCTTTTTTCACTGCTTTTTCGCGATTTCTGCAATGCTCTACCGCACCCTATTTTAATGTAGCGGTTATGGGCGAATGACACTGGTGATATGCAATGACACGGAATTTATAACAAGAGCTGGAGTATCGGCTCTTCCGGCTTCCACAACGAATTAGCTTTTTGAAAGTCAACTGCTACACAGCGAATTTCGGTTTTTTAAAATAAAGAATCGAGAATATATTTTTAATATTTTAAAGATAATTTTTTAGCTATTTAGCATGAATAGGAGAAAAATTTAATAGAAAATCCTAGCGAATTGGCTAGAGAACTCAATTGGATTTCTTTCGAAATAAGTTTTTTAAATGGAATTCGGTGTAAAATTTACAATTTTCGGACAAATTCCCCTCACACCCAGAACAATCTGTATTTAAATTAATGAATTTTACTTGAATCTAATAACCGATCGATAGAAATTCCAGTGTTTTTTTTGTTTTTCTGTTCATTCTTCATTTGTCAAATCAATTCCTTCGGTGGTTTAGCCATTCTCTTTTCAATATTTTTATTTCTCGATTTCTACAATCCTCTACCTCCCCCTATTTTAATAACGCGGTTATGGGCGAACGACACTGGTGATATGCAACGACACGGAATTTATAACAAAAAGCCGGAGTATGGCTCGTTCGTCACTTCCGGTTTTCACAAACTCATTTCTGTATTTCACTGTCTCTGTCGTTTCTCTCTGTAGTCCAATAATGTCATTTGAAAATCCATTGTGGTGCTACTGTCGGTGGGGTTGGCGGGGGGTGGGGGTAGGGGGTGGATTGAATGGATGTATATGTGGGGTTTGTCGCTGGCTTTGAGCGGCGTTTGGGGAGCTGCGAAGGTGTGAGTGCATTCAATGGCAACCAATACTGAAACGTGGAATCCAGTTTGATAATGGTTTTCGGGGGGAAACTACGGTTCTGGTCCTCTGGTGGAGCGGGAACTGAAAGGGGGGCGGTGGGGGGTACTAGCCAAATAAGTAGACAAGGCGAACCGGATACGCGATTGGATTCCAATCACATTGACATCGTTACTTTGTTGTCAGTCATTTGTTTGTTGGACTCATCGCTCTACCGAAGCCCCCGGAAATTTGATATTCGGAGGACTTTTTTCGCTTTTTTTAGAGAGACGATTCAGGGTGAAACCTGTGTACACTGGAGTTTTCGAGCACGGTGGCATGACTGCGATTTGAGAGGGAAAATAATATCCAGAATTTCGCGGGGAACAAAAAAGCGTTATTGGACTGGATTTTTCACCTGAAAGGGCGAGAAGTTTTGGAATAAGAGTGGGAGAATGGAAAATAAAAAATGGGAAGTTAATTCCCCTTGGACATTAATTGCGGGGGTGGTGGGGTGGGAGGCGTCAGATAAATTCGGTGCAAAATGAATCAGAGGAAGGGGGAGCTGATTATTCGGGCTCGGGTAATTTTATCTCGTATTACGTAATTTCGGGGGAATTTGTTTATTTTGTCGCGATGGGGAGGTGGAGGTCAAATTCGTATAACTGACTGTTTATGTACTCCTGTGGATTTTATTTTTGAGCGGTGATGTGGTGGAATGGGGTGATTAAATTTTTTTTTTCGGCGAATTTGTACAGCGAGAGAAGTGACGCATTCCAGTCAAATAAAGCTCTTTATTGGGAGTTGTCAGGGATTCAGGTCAACAGTATTTTTGTTGGGAATTAATCATCACGCATGAAAGAATTTCCATTGATTTTTCTATTAGTGTTGGGGCGATTTTATTGAAATGGGAAGTATAAATTATTCTATAGAACAAGTCAATAGAATTCGATTCTCGTATCGGCAGGTGAGAACCCCAAAAATAAGCCTGAAGTGCTTGGATATCTTCGAGTTTGAATAAAAGCTTCATTCCGAGCTATCTGAATAAGCCCATAAATTTTCTTCCTCCGAATAAAATGAAGGAAATGAGCGCCTCTTCAGAAGCTCATTTTTGCAGAACAGCGTAAAACCTTAAAAAAGTCATCTCTCTTCAAGTGAAATTGAGGAGAGCATCAGCCCCGATAATCTGAAGGTTGTGAATTGAAATCCCACCCATGTCATCACTCATTCCCCCTGACATCTCCATCCTTGAAAAATTATTTCACGCGACGCGCTGTCATGAGATGTATGTAGACGGATAATCAACGCATCCGACGACGGATAAGAGAATACTCACATTTATCTTGTGTGAAAAATTCCCAAAAACTGATATTGGCGGCCCTTCCTTGGGTATATATCTGTAGAACTCGGAGCCGCTCTTGTACCATTTAACGGCGTAGAGTATATCATTCTGTAGGTCGTATCGGCAGGTGAGGTTGACGGTTGAGCCGATGGCGACGGCCTCGGGAATATTGTGAGACACATTCTCCAGTCCATTGACGCCTGCAATGAAAATTTCAATCAAATTTTTAACGGAATAGCTTGAAAAATCGTTTTGAAACTCCTGAAAATTAAACAATCTATTTACCAGAATTTTTTGGTTTTTTACTCATTTTCAGGAAAAAATGGAACGGAAATTTACACTTCTCTTTGATTTTGCCACGAAATTCTGAATTTTCACTGACAAGATTTCCTGAAATTTCAGTGGAATTGGAACACGATAAAAATTTCCGGAATTGGGCGCGGAAAATTCACACCAAAATTTTTAACAGTGTGATACAGTTTTGAAAATTGGTTTACCGACATCCCCATGACATCCTTAATCAGTCGCATCCAGTGGATCGGATTTGTTGTGAATGCTAGACAAATTGATGTTTATCATAGAATTTAATCGAATATTTATGATTCATTCGCGGCCTACTCCAAATCCTGTTTCGGATTTATCTCGGACAGAAATATTCACGGGATTGTGGGTTTGATCCACGAGTATACATTAGCCACCGGCATAACCATAGCAAAATTATTCATTCACCCCGAATAAAGGATTTAATAAATATTCTCTCGATCTGGATAAAGTAATTTTATAATTAAAACACATGATTAATTGGAATTGAATGAATAATTATGTTATTAATTCACGCGAGTGAATTATATATACAACTCAATCGATTTTGTGAATCCACAGGGTCTTACTCGCGGTTTTGCGTTATTTTTGAATCGGCGAGAACCGATTCAATACCGAGATTCACCATTTTAAAACTTGTTATATTCATAGCGAAAATTATCAACTTAATTTTGCAATAAAGTCTCCGGGTTTCTGTAATAATTTCTTTTGGTGAGCTACTGCTTTCAAAACTTCTCTCACTTCCAATGAAATTCCAAGGAATTTCGTAATTAAAAATTCAAGAATTCGTGGAAAACCCAATGAGAACTAATTTCAGTTCGATCATTCCATGAAAATGAATGGAAATCAGAAACGTTCTGTTAAATGTATTCTTGAATATCCAATTAATTGAAAATTCAGAGTAAATCGGGATTGAATATCAATTTTTTCATTAAAGATTCAAGTAAATTACGGACTTCTCATGTTCCAGCTGCTAAAATTTCATTTAGTTTTCTGTGAAATTGGAAATTTCACGATTTTTTCCGCCAAATCCAATTCAAAATCACTCTCCTGAAAATTGCTGGTCAACTATCCCTGAAATTCCAATTTTTCTCCAACAGTGCAATCTCTTGGTTCTCTCGATTCAATCTCCCTTCTGTCGCACTGTTAGGAAAAAATAGAAATTTTATGAAATCGACATTTAGAGAATAAATGCTGGAAAAGTCTAGAATAGTCTGAAATATTGTCGAAGCACCAGCAGGGTGCATCAGTGATGAAGGCTCTTGTAGATGAGCTCTCAAATCAATCGAGAAGTGTTTAAATTTAAAAAAAAATTCCACAATTTTTCGGGGGTTTTCGAATGGTTTGCGACATGCTAGAAAGAATGATCAAGGCTTGGAAAAATGGAGAGCTTTCCGGACGACTGCGCAATTCACCAGAAGATTCTGTACAGCTCTGGATCTTTCTACAATTTTCTAGAACTTCCAATAGTTTTCACGAATAACGAAATGTCAATTCTGGTATAGCCAGATATACGAGTCATGTGTAATAGAATTGAAAATTCAATATGTCATTATTTTAATATACGATCATTGCTTCGATTTAAAACCTATATTTCCTCCCATGAGAACGTATTAATCATGGACATAAATGATTGGCAATTACAGTTAACTGTGACGACGACTTCACTTGTTACTTCAAGTTACGACTAGACCTTTGACAGTCTAACAACTCCCCATAAACTTCGCCTCTCATTATCTCTTCAATAAGCAACTTCCTATTTGATTTAAAAGGCTCATTCGCAATAACACAGTAGAAAATACGCGGAGCGTAACCGTCACAACATTAGTGATGCGAATTTTATGGGGGATATTAGTAGCAAAAAATAAATTTCGACAATGAAACAATAAGAAAAAAATTTGGCTGGATTGTTGGTCTCTCGCTTCGCTCGCTCCAATTGCGTTTTTCTACTTTTGCTCAGTCGAAAAAATACTTGTACTTGTACTTGTACTTGTACTTGTTCATGTAAGAACTCAAAAATGTTTTTCTATCTCTTCTGAAAACCGAATTTCGTCAAAAATTCAAAAATCCAAATAATTCCCTTCTTGTAAGTAATAAAATTGAACAGAAATTGAATGCAATTTTTCGAAGCCTTTTAAATGTTGATAACAACATAAAACATAAAAACCTAAAAAAAATTGAAATGTTGCAGTTCCGATTTCGAGCATTTCTATTTACAAAAATGCATAAGAAAGCCCATTCTATCCGTTAATAAAATTCACTTATCTCAATAAACTAATCAATTGGAAGTACTGAACTCAAGTCCTAAAAGTACTTGAAAAACATCTGCAAAAGATGTGTGAAATTTATACATTCGTGTTTCCAGTTTGTCTCGCGGCATCGCTAAAAAATAATATCGTCACGACAATAAAAAAAACCAACCACCACTCCCCCCACTCCAAGACTCCCCCTCATCAATCCTCCTCACCACTCACCTCTCATTCCTCATAAACTCCAGAATCTTCCCCAAACAATTTGCCCCGGAGGACCCCCACCAGTAAATTCAACAACAGCCACCCAGATAGACATTACTAGACTGATTTCGCAAGTTTGACGCGTTATTAGAACCTCGCAGTCTAAGTGTAATTAGAGGAGCGAGAGGAGAGAAAGGTTAATTAGGCAGGCGCGATAGTGTTTCCCCAAACTTTACTCTGTGTATATAATAGTACGTATACATACGAAAATGGCACTCACCAGTCCCCCCCCTCCCCCCTCCCCGTGCCCCGCGCCCTCTCGCAATTTGGATTTCGAGTCTTAGCTCGAACTATGGCAACTTCGCCACTCTAACGTATACACAATCTCAAACTTCATTCTCTAATCTGTCCATATAACTAATTAGAATTACTCCATGACTCGACAGGGGCGCGGGGAGGGGGAG